TTCCTTCCTTCCCTGGCACTCTCCTCCAATTTTTGTTGAAATAATTTGGAACTTTAGATCCAGATTATTACATTAAATTTTTCAATAAAATATTTTCTCATTTTTCAAATTTTTAATAGAATATTTTCACATAGCTACATTAATATTTATTACTGAATTTAATTATGTTTTGCCATTTCATTGTTTGTTGCTATTTATTTTAAAACCCTAACTTCTTCATTCTTGGATTCTTTTATTTTGACTTATTTTTCAGTAAGCTTGAGTAAATCTTTATAGTACGGAGAGCATAATTTCTGCCCTTGTATGTCTGAAATTGCCAGATACCATTTTAAAATAATACCTAAGGCTTTGGAGTCAGATAAAACTAGATTCGAATGTCAGCTTTTTCTTGTTCTTGCCCTGTGATAATGGGGAAATCTCTTTACTTTTTTGACGTAGGTTCCTTGTGTGTAAAATGGAGGGACTATCAGCTTACAGGATGCGTACGTTTTATACCAAGTAAAGTGTATTAACACTGGTCCATAGTAGTCAGTCAATAATAGATTGTTATTATTATTATTAATCTTTGTACAATACCATCTTTATTGAACATTATCCACATCTTAATACAATGTTATGCATATTAAAGGTCCTCCATTAAGTTGTATTACCATTTAATATTTGAGATATAATTTACATACAATAAAATGGATAGATCATAATAGTAGCGTTTGGTGCATTTTTTAAAATTGCACGCATCTCTGTAACTACCACCCAAATCAAGATAAAACATTTTCCCACAGTCATTCTTCCTTTCATTCAGCCACTCCCTGTCCCCAGAAGCAAACGTTTTCTGATTTGTATTATTATAGATTCATTTTGTCTATTCTCAGGCTTAATATAAATGGAATCACACCATATATATTCTTCTGTGTCTGCCTTCTTTTACTCATTGTAAGATTTTTGAGTTACACTCCAGATGGCATGTATCAGTAGTTTACTGTTTTTCACTGTTGAGTAGTATTTCATTGCATAGATATATCAAAAATTGTTTTTCCATTCTCATATTTATGTGTATTTGGGTTATTTCCAATTTGGAGCTATTATAACTAAGGCTACTATGAACATTTTTGCACAAGTCTTTTTGAGGACATATGTTTTCATTCCTCTTGTGTAAATACCTAGGGGGCAAAATTGTTGGGTCTTTGGATAATGTATATGTAACTTTATAGGAAACTGATGAACAATTTTATAAAGTGACCACATAATTTTATTATCCCACCAGAAAATTATAAATGTTTTAGTTTCTCATCCTCACTATCATTTAATATTTCATAAAAATCTATTTTGATGTATAACCGTATCAACTGCTTATATTTATTGTTGCATGATGTAACTTTTTTCCATCCCTTTCTTTTTAACCAGTGTATTTATCTTTTAAATTTTTTCTCTTATAGATAGTATATATTTGGGTCTTAATTTTTTATCCAGTCTATCTCTGCCTTTTAAATAAAGTATTTAGTTCATTTACATTTGATAGTATTTGGTAATTATTGGTATGGTTGGGTATAAGCCTACCATGTTTGTATTATTTTGTTATGTCTTAACTGTTTTTATTCATCTGTTGCTCATTTCCTATATTCTTTTCCATTAATTGAATGCTTTTAGAATTTTGTTATATTTTCTCTATTGATTTCAGATTTTATTGTTTTTTTTTTTCCCTAATGGTTACTCTAGACATACCAACATGCATCCTTAACTTATTCATGTTCTACCCTGAGTTAATATTTTATATTTCACAATGAAGTTACAGTTTTTAAATTTTATAATGCCATTTGTCCATTTATACATTCCTTATATTCTTATTGTCATCTATTTACTTATATATAATATTGTAAACCCCATTGTATATTGCTTTTAATTTTGCTTTAAACAGTCAGTGATCTCTTAAAGAAATTTCTTTTATGTTTACCCTTTCTGGCCAACATTTGTGTCATCTGTGGATCTGGTTCTGTTGAATATTTTTCTCTTAATTATGAGGCACATTTTATTGCTTCTTAGTACATCTCATGATTTTTTATTATATGCCAAACATTATCTGAAAAAGAACAGTAGAGAGTGTAGCAAATGATATTTACCCTGAGAAAAATTCATGCCTCCTCCTATGTCAGGCCTTTAGAGTGGAGGCTAAGTCAATCTAATCTGTAGTTGAGCTGGATCTGGGGTTTTTTGAAGCTTTAGTTAGATTTACTTTGCCACTAGTTTCAAATGTCATGAGGGAAGATAAGGATTATCCCTTTATCAGGTCTTGGAATTTGTCCAGTGGAGAACTCTCTGTTCTTCACATGGAAATTTTATGTTGCCTACTTTTTGAATCACTGAGTTCTTTTTCTCTCCAGCATTGTCCTCAACTTTCTGCAGCTGGGAAGACCTCTCTCCCCTTTGATGTTCTGTCCCTAGCCTTTGATGAGCTGTTGCCTTGCGCTCAGTGGAGGGTTTGTGTACTTGGGGGAAATTTCTCTGAGTTCTCCTGTCCTACCCTTAGCTTTTAGAAAATGCTGCTATGGTTCTGGAATGAGTTAAAATTCATTGTAATTTTTAAGAATAAAAAATAAAAATAAAAAAAATGGATCTACTTTGCCACATGTTATCTCTATCTTTACTATAGAATTCTACATGTAACTAATCGATAAAAAGTTGTTTGTATCCTCCTTTAACTTGAGGAAAGGGTAAATTTCTCAGGTGATCTATGTTGCTATGCCAGTGTTAAATTCAGATTCATTTTAATCCAATAAGAGGATTAAGAGAATATATGACTGATAATATTAACAAACATAATTCTTATTTAGTATAAAAAATACTGATTGATATTAATGTGCAAACATAAAAAAGTGTGCAGTTTCTTTTATCTGCTAAAACCATGATCAAAATTCCATTACTTGCAAACTCATAATACCCATGTATCAGATATGCCAGAAGAAGATACCTGAGCACACTGTATAAGGCTGCTAAAGTTTTAAAGGATAGGTGGTGTCTTATTTGCTTCTGAATGCTGACACTGAGCACAGAGTAGATACAAAGAATGGCCTTCATACATTGTTGAATAAACAGCTTTGCAAGAACAATAAACATTCACAAAAAACCTTCAACAGATGAAACACAGATATGTAAAGTGCTATAACCAGTCAAGATCCCACTGGCATTTCTTACCATAATGAATTTTCTTCAAGAACTCATGGGCAGGATTTACTCTTGGGTCATCTAGCCTAATCATCTTACTCAACAAACAGGCCTTGGAAGGGGAGCTGCCTGCCTTCTAGGCCTATCTTAATTGTCCTGGATAGCCCTTGCTCTCCCAAGATACCAGGCAGAGAGAGATGAACTCTTCCATGGAGCACTCAGCTTTGCTATGGTATGCTGGAGTAAGGAATTCTTGGAGGCTGCCCCACCTTCTTATAAATGAGCTGTAACGGACTAGCAGATATACCCAGGAGTGGGGTTAATGTGTTTCCTGACAGAGACGTTCCTTTCCTGCTTACTCCCAACTTGTTCCACTTTACTTACCTCTACCTTGAGAAATCATTTTTCCTGGGCTATAAGAATGCTCACCATCTTGTCTCCTGGCACTCCTTGTCCAGAGCTTTATTTTGTGTATAGTTCCCCACACTAACCTTGTTGTTTCTCATCTCTGAACTTTTGCTTCTGCTTCTCTCTTTGCTTGGGATGTCCCTTCCTTCCCCACCCCCATGCCCTGACACATTGGCCAAATGCAGTCTATAAGACTGAGCCCAACCTGGGGATTCAAGGAAGGCTTCCAGGAAGAAATAATCCCTCAAGTAGATGTCCCTCATCTGAGATCCCACACCAGTAAGTGTGCACCTCATTTTAGACTTCACATATTACCATATTTCCCCAAATTTCTCTTCCCACTAGACTAGATTCTGGGATGCTCCAGGATGAAGACCCTGACTGACACATTTTTGTTTCCACTATGTCTGAACACAGTGACTAGTTCATGGTAGGTGCCCAATAATAGTCAACGAACTTAAACTGAGGCTTGCTCATACCTCTCCTGCCCTATATTTTGGTAATAAGTTTGGGTGTCTCTTCCTCAGAGCAATTACTTCTACTTGTCCAGGGGCCTGGGGCAGTGAAGCTGAGGCCATAGCAGCTCCTAACATCTCAATGCCCTTAATTCTTTTACTTCATTTTGGGGCGCCTGGGAAGCTCAGTTGGTTGGGCCTCTGACTCTTGATTGCGGCTCAGGTCATGATCTCAGGCTCATGGGACCAAGCCTCACGTCTGGCTCTGCAGTCAACACGGAGGAGTCTGATTGTCCCTCACCCTCTGCTCTTCCTTGCCCCACCCACTCCCCCACCACTCTCGTGCTCTTTCTGTCTAAAATAAATAAATAAAATCCTTTAAAAAAAATCTTTTACTTCATTTTGGGAGAGGCAAAGTCGTATCTCAGAATCCCTGCTTTAATTCAGTGATTTTTAGGCTTGCTAATTTAGTGTGGCATTTCTTAGTCCAGTTAGACTACTGAAATTTTTATTTTATTATTCCAGGACTAATCAGATACTACCTAATACTTGATTTTAGAATAGACAAAAACACACTAGAAGACTCAGCAGTTATGAAAAATCTATGGGAAAAAGTTTTAATTGAGACCTTTCTGTGTATGAATTAATTTTGTTTCAAATTAGAAAAGACAAACATTAACCAATTTTTGTTAGTCCCTATCATGGGACGCCAGTGTTGTATAGGAACAATATTTGAGAACCTCTGCTCCAGTTAAGTAAAATTACAGTTAAATATACCACCTATCAGCAGTAAGTTCTTTTATTTCATGAAAATGAACAAAGATTTTTATTTTGAGTAATGGTGTTTGCTTCCTGAAATAAGCTCAAAAACCTACCTTTATTATATATATATATATATATATATATATATATATATATATATATATATATACTTTATTATTGAAGAAAGTAACCATTTACCATCTTTTTCCTTCTCAGGCTGTGAGGTTGAGATTCTTGGGGTCAGACCTACTTACTGCCTAGAATATAAAAACGTCCCAACGGATATCAATTTTGCCAATGCAGTCAGCGATGCTCTTGACTCCCTCAAGTAAGTGTCCCAAGGTTTTAGTCATACCATTGTTCTTCATTGTTTCCAGGACCAATAATGAATGCTAAAGTGAGTTAAGAAGGCTTGGTACAGGTGGAATAATGTCTCAGAGATATGATTAGTCTCTTGCGTGATGACTGTTAACTGCTACCAGAGAATAATTGTGAGTGAGTCGTTTCAGGTAGGGGCACTCTCTGTAAATGTTGAATGGAGAGCAAGAAAGTCCTCAAGTGTTTGGGACTTTCTTCTTTATGTTGATGGACAATAGAGAAGCAATACAAATGTCAACATCTCTCTAATTAAGATTTAGTGAATGCTTGTATTTCATAAAATGTTATTATTTGGCAAGAAGGGGGGATCGGTGGTGAAGTAAATTTGAAAAAATTGCCTAATCTACCCTCTTCTTGGTAATGTATGAAACACGTAGAACATAGAACCTTTTTCTTCCTCCCACATGGAGCAATGACACAGAACTTTGAAAATGCAGAAATCATTAATGGTGTCTTAAATAGCACACGAGAGTCTGTCAGGGAAGCTGATTAACAAGAAAGGTCAGGAGAAAGCCTCAAGGCAGTCTCAGAAATCGCTAGATATGGAAGTCAAGATAGGAGACCAGCTGGGGTCTACCTGAGTAATTAGCAACCAAGAAGCTAAAGATGTTGGGGGCTCTCACATTTCCAGGGCTGGATTTGCGGTCTCCTTGGCTACTGAGTGGATCTCCTGGGTAGGGTCAAGGCAGAAGATCCATAGTAATCAGTTTGGAGACCAAGGAGGGACTGTGATCCTCCCAGGAGAAAGAGCCTGTTTTCAAGCTGGGCAGCCTCCGAGGGCCACCATATCCCAGGCACTGTGTACTACTCACCAGCAGTAACCACATGAATTGGCCTATAGCTAAGATAGCCCCAGATATAGAGCTGACCAATTATGAATCCCATTCTTGCCATCACCACCCCAAACATTGCGGGGAACAAGTCACCCCCACAGAACTGCACAAGGAGAAAACAATACCCCTCCCTCCGTTCCTTCTTGGAATAATTCCACTTCCATGAAACCCATTAAGATGGGCCTTTGAGGCGCAAGAAGGCTCAAGCTCTGACAGATTGGAGAGGAAATAGGTTTGAAATACTTAAAAACTGAGATGTAACAAATTTAAAAGTTGAGATTTTTTTTTTCTGGAGGGAAGAGGGAAGGGACAAGGTCTGGAATGAACTTTAAATAAATATTATTAACCATTGAATAAATAGCCTTCAACATATGGTTTGTAAATCATGTGTGTTATATGATCCTGTCTCCTACCTACTCTGCTTTCTTTTCCTTGCCCACAAGTGCTGGAAAACCACACACACATGATGAACTAGAATATCGTGTTACAAACTAGTTTGTGCAAAGCTGAAGAGCACCACACGCACAGCAGATGCGCAGAGCTAGAACTCTGGAATGGCTCTGTGTCTATACAGTGCTGTTTCCAACATATCCAAAGTGCTGGCCACCCCTACAGCTTATTGCCATGCTAAATAAGAACATTTAGAACATAGCTGTCATACAAATACCTCCAAATAACCCAATGCTCTATTTGGGAGGGTAATCTTTTTCACATTCATCTTACCTTGAGAATCGAATGGTCACTGACTGTACACAACCCAGTGATGCAACAGGTGGAGAGCCACAGAGTCCCAAGAGGCTCAGGTTAGCCAGGGCTGGCAAGCCGGCCCATCCAAGCAGACTTCCTTGTCTTGAGGTATAGCAGCATGCTGGAGGAATGAGTGCTGGGCTCTGTTTCCTAGGGAAGTTTCTGTTTCTCTGTTTCTAGAGAAGTTTTTCTTTTTCCCTTTTCAAGCAACATGACAAAGCTCTGGAACACTGGGGAATAACATCTTTACCTTAGAGCACAGCATTTAGAAAGGGGGAGGTTGGTGGGGGGTGAGGTGGTAGTATGTATATGTGTGTGTGTATCTTTGTGTGTATGTGTGTTTAGCAAAGGCATTGGGCTCCCCTAGACAGAAAAGGCTACCAAGAACTGGAGGCCCAGGAAAGTGGCCTCGGGCTAGGCCTCTATCTGGTGTGACCTGATACCACCATATTGTTCAATTGGCACCATTCATACTATAGTTTACATAAATGGCCTTGAAATCCCAGGGGATGACATTCACATAATCTACCAGTGAATGATGCTTCTGCAGTTGGGGAGTGAAGGCCTAGGAAGGATGGAACCAGGCCAGTGCAATTGTCTTGTGGGGTCTTCATACTGTCAAAGTTAACAGGGCCACCAGAAACATCCCCTGTGAATAGTAGTTGGAAAGATGGAGATCCACCATTTCTAAAACTAGTTAGGGCTTGAAATGAGACAGAGAGAAAAAAAGAGAAGAAAAGCAATAGGCCAGATGATACTGATTGCCTGTGGAAAGCAGTAAGATAATTTAGGCTCTCTTGCAAAGAAAAAGAAGGCACCTTCTATAAACAGCCTAGATAGATAGATAGATAGATAGATAGATAGATAGATAGATAGATAGATAGACTGATTGATTTAGAGTGGGGGCAGGGAGAAGTAGGGGGAGAAGGAGAAAGAGAATCTTAAGCGGGTTCCACACCCAACGCAGAGCCCGATGCGGAGCTCGATCTCACCTCCCTGAAATCATGACCTGAGCCGAAACCAAGAGTTGGACCCTTAGCCAACTGAGCCACCCAAGCACCCCTAACCTATGCATTTTTAGAACATGTCTCATTACCTTCTTACAAAGTAGAATAAAGGATTGACATTTGTGGGCCAACACAGTTAAGACCACTTTACATGTAGCAGCTTATTCATGTAAGAATGTGACTCAAAGGAATTATGAATTCTCTTGGTGTGTATGCTTAGGCAAAGATGTATTAATTATTTATCTTTCCATCAGATAGCCCCAAAACAAGGAGCAAGTTTTAGACTCCATAGCTTACCTCTTGGTTTCTGCTCAGCTCTATCTCAAATTCCTAGCTATAATTTGAGGAGTGCTTAGAGTTCACACAAGTGTGCGAACACAGGCATGCATATGCATGTGGGCACACACAGGCATTTCTCCTGATCAGTACTGCTTATAGAGTGTCTTTTCCACTCTGCTATTATTCTGAGAGGCAGAGAGAATGGGATACAGGATAGATATGCTTTTGAAAGAAGGCAGTTACGATTGACCTATGGACAACATTTCGGCAAAGGGTCCGGCTCAGCCAAGAAGCTGCATGGTTCTGTAGAAGGGCTAGTCCAATTTCCATGTTTGATCTGGGCATTGCCATCCAGGGCTCATAAAGCTTTATTGACCCAAGTCATATCCATGGTAGACGCTACCTCGGCACCTAGACAACCTCCAGCGTAGAAGAAAGGAGAGGGCAAAGAGAATTCATGTCTTCAACACACACCTGCCAGCATTGTGTCAAAGGCGCTATCGCCATTGACCCATTCTGCTGTTACAGCTACTGTATTACACAGGTGTGTCATCCTCCTCCTCTTACAAAGAGTCCTCCTCCTGTCCCAAAGTTAAGCACCTCGCTTCAGGTCGCACACAGCTAGTAGGTGGTGGAGCCGGAGCCCAGGTCTGAGAGAGAAGTGCCTGGACACTTCAGAGTCAAGTTCACAGCTCTCCTCCTGGTCTGCACCCATACCTCTGAGGTGCCCTGAAACCGAATCAGACCAACAGGATGGCGGGGGTTGGCTCCTTCGCAAGTCACCCCTGGGCCTGGGGCTCATGAGCGCCTGAGGTGGACTGGCAGCCTTTCGGGTCTGCTCGCTGCTTGACATGTGCAGCACACAGCCCCAGTCATGGGCACGCTATGTACCATGCCACCGCACACGGGGACAGGGAAGCAACACCCCTGCCCACACAGCACCACAGAAAGCAGTTTGTGATCACAGCACTTAATCTGTCCTCCTGGAAGTTCTGTTTGTCGGACAGTCATGCTTCGGTGGGCAGGAAAAGGGGCATACCAGTGGTGACAGCCCCGTGCAGCCCTGACCGCCTGGAGGGACTAGGAGGCTGCTCCCAGGTGCAGGTGCCTGATGAAGCCTCTCAAAAGGGTTGGTCAAGCAACAACTGGGCCCCAGGAGCGGTGGACACAGCTGCTGTCTATTGTCAAGCTCCAGGTTACGGAAAACAGCTCCAAAGGAATTCTTTTAGGATCCCAGAACCTCAGTGGCTGCTGGTGCCTATAAAGGAGTGGATGGATGACGAGATGGTTCTTTCCACAGACCATGGGGCGGCTGGGGCAAATGTCCTGGCCTTTGTCTCTCCTCCCCCTGGACTCTGAGGGAAGGGGCTCAGCACACAGGCAAAAGCCATCCAGGCACATCTGGAAGGAAGAGAGAGACGCAAGGCATCTCCTTCCCTTTGCCTCCCTTTTGCTGTGTGTCAAGCACTTTATAAACATCAGCTCATTTCCTACCCAGTGTAGCCCTCTGTGGAGGTTTTTCACATGGCACATTGAGGCTTCCAGATATTTTTGCTGTTCTTCTGAGACCTCCAGGATAGCAAGGTTCACGTCTTTGAGCTCAGATTTGTCTAATTCCAATACCCTATCAATGTATAATTTTCCAAAATTAAGGCTCTGTCATGTGCTCACTACATATGTATATGAGAATTATGCTGAGGTTCAAATTCCTTTATTGCTGAGGGAATCCAGGCACGACCAGGCTGGTTAAACAGAGAATATGAGAAACACACACGTGAAGGAAAAGAATGATGGAGGACGATGGCATACGATTATTGTGAGATGCAGAAATGCTTCACGACTTAGAGGACAATCAGACCGTGATCTTTGGGACTGCTTTCTCCATCAGGCAAAAATAACCTTCATCTTACTGGTTTCCTACAAGTTGACAGCTAAGTTTACACATTCCGGGCTCAAGTTGGTCATAAAGTCTGGTGACCTGTAAACAAGTTTATCAGACACTGTTCTTGTAGGACACAGGAATGACAGGCAGCTGTTTTGGGGGCCTAATTTCTAAGTTTTAGATCATTTTTCTTAATAGTTGATAACTTCAACCATCCCTTCGAATTGCCCCCCATTTCTCTCTCCCTAAGTCTTCTCTTTCCAACTCACTTTGGTAAGGAAATGGATGTGAGGTTATGAACTTTTACACTGAAAAGAGATCTGGACAACATCCTAAGATGATGGAGGACCTGGGTGTCCCTGAAAGCCTGGGGCTGGGGGCTCCTTGCAGCTCTCAAGTGCTGGGCTGACAGCCACATGTCATTGGCTCAGTTCCTGGACCCCTAAAGCTATAAATTATAAATGGCCAACCATAGGTCTGCAGGCATTTCCACCCATCGCTCCTCACCCAACCACTACATTACAAATGAGCTGACCTGTGATGGAGACCAGATCCATGTGGAAAACACCTGGCGACCAAGAATCTGTCCGCTGAACTCCAAACAGGCGAGAGTGCTCAGCCCTTGAAGACTCGGGTCCCTAATGAATCGACGAAACTCCAACCTAGAAGTCTTTTCCAAAGTCACGTGCATAAATCCCTGAATCGCCAGCATCCCAAATCCAGTGTTCCTGGCACCTGGGGTTGACAGCTCCTTCAAAGAAAGCCATCAGGTAAATCTGTGATACGGGGTCCCTGATCACACAGAGATTTTTTAGATATGGTGCAGAGCCTGAAAGAAGCCAGCCAAGTGGTTGCTGTGTTAAGGGAAGTATCTACAATGCAGTGACCTAAAAGCATGTCTTTGAACTTTAATGCAACAGTCAGCCTGTTTGTGCAATTTTCCCCCCAGGCAGGCCCCACCCTGGAAGTGGACACACTTGAACACTGGATACACTGCATGAATCCGCACATCTGGGGAGCTACAGATTCAACTGCATAAAGCAGCTAAAGGCTGAGGCTCATCTGAGGGAAAGATTTTATGGAAGTTTCCACTGTAGTCATCAGTGTAATGAACACGGGCCTCACAAAAGTTTAGGGATGTGTATGAAAGTGCCATTATCTAGCGAGAACTTTTCCCCACCGCCCACACCCTTGCAGGCCCCTGCAGTGACTTTTTGTTCTCTGCTGTCTACAGATGGATGAGTCATTCACACATTAGCGAGTATGAATAATGATAATATCACTTTTGAAAAACACCTAACCCAGTCCCCATTGTGGAGAAGGGTGGTATTTGTTAAAGAAGGGCCGGTTTGTTGTGTTCTAAAAAGAGAAAACACTTGACTAGCAATTTCACTTAATTTGAAAACCAATGTACTCTCAAAAACATAAATGAAATGCCCCTCAGGGTACACAGTAGAACATCACAGCATCATTAAAGGACGTGCCGTCTTGGCAAGTATGACCCTAATGAAGGAAGATGCTAATCAGATTATCCCCTGAAAACCGCCCCAGTGTAGTGAATGTAGTAGATGCGGACTTTCAAAAGCCCAGGCTGGTAGAATGCTCTGATCTTGGAGATTCACGTTTCCAGTTCTAGCTATGCCTCTGTGAGACCTTGAGCAAGTCCTAGAATCCGTTCTGGCCTATTTCCCCATCTGCAAAATGTGCAGATGCTTTTCTATAGGGACGCTTCCCACAGTAGTTCCAGAAATCCAAGACACACCCAACCCACAGACATGGAGCGCTGTCCGTCAAGAAGGGTAAGAGTCTTATAAGAGAATAAGGACCATTTCCATAAGAAGGTTAAGCAGAATGCTGCCCCATTGGTGTGGGCCGTAGAGTTTTTAGTGGTTGTCATCAGGGTTTTGGAGTCAGCCCAACGTGGGTTTGAGTCCTGGTCCCATCTCTCCCTGGCTGTGTGAGGCAGGCAACTCTACTGAGCTCTCTGTTCAATGTAGCCCTGTCTTAAAGGGTTGCTGTGAGGATTAAATAATGAATGAAAAGCCTTCGACGTAGTACCTGACCCAGAGCAACTGTCATTTATTGAGCGCTTACTATTAGTATACTTTCAACTGTTGTAGAGCTCCAACTGTATGCCAAATACGGTAGGCTACAACTGAGCTACAGTGGAGGATGAATCGCCATCCCCCCCAAAGAATTCACAGCTTAGAGAGGGCGAAGGAACATTAGCAGGCCACTGCAGCCCCGCATGGAAGAGCATTACCAGGAGATGAGCCTAGAGGGCCCGCAGGAGCACCCGGAGGGCCGCCCAGCAGAGCCTGGGGCATCAGAGCCAACTTCCTGGAAGGGCCACCATCTCCCCTGAGACCTGGAGGATGAGTAGGAGCTGTTTTTAACTCTGGCCGTGCAAACCACCCTCTCTGAACTACCGGGAGGCAATTTTCCCTCCTCTGTGGATTGCAAGACCCAAGGCAGAGCAGGCTCTGAGGACTCACATTCTTTTATTGCTCATGTTCCAGGTGTTGGGGCAGCCACATCAGAAGACACCATGCCATCTCATTTGCATGTGTGTGTCTTTAAAATATAGTTTTTCGAGAGAAATAAGGCAATCCACCAAGAGTATCAACTATTAGCTCTTGTAAAGTCCAAGCAAAGGAATGAGCTGTAATTTCTTTTGCATTACTTCAACTTTTGTCAGTTACTATAACGGCTCCCACCATTAACATCGTCATCATCATGATCATTGTTCAGCTCGGGTGCTTTGGGAGGAGTCGTGGGCAAAGCTTGAGCTGGGGCAGGAGGGACGGTGGAGAGCACTGCGTGAAGGAAGGAGGTGCATTACACGGCATTTTTTTTCTCCCTTCCCTGACTCCGCAGGCCTCCTACTCCAATGGAGAGCACTTGTTCCTGGTCATTCTTAGCCCAGCATCAAGGGCTTGGATTATTAGTACTCTGGCCAAGGAGAGTTTCTCCAGAACCAGTGTCTTCCTGGGACCCAGGGAAGTGTGGTCACTGTTAGAATTCACTCTATATCCACACTGGAACTGGCCCTTCATAGAATAAATGTCCCCATTAGAATAAGTGTCTGCTGAACACTAACCTGTTTGCCTCCCCCAGGTTGCCCTGGGAAAGCTTGCTCTTATTCTTGCCAGTGGGTTAAACACACAGTCTGCTGTTTTATTTAGACACTTCCTTTAGGTCCAGCAATAATCGAAGTCATTATTTGAATGATTGCTTCTAGTTGTTCTGATCTTATGACAGCAGCGGTGGTAGAGTAGAGCTATGAGAACTGTCCTCTGCCTGTTCCAGCCCTTCCAACTCTTGGGGCACAATGAGCGATGCCACATGAGCCCTGAGGGGAGATGCCCCATAAACGTGCTCTCTGACTGTTGCACTGAGGTGCTCAGGACTGGCATGTCGTGATGCCGTAGTCGTGTTTCCTCCCTTAGAGATCACCGTGATCATTTTAAGGCGTCAGTTTTGCCTGGCCCACAGGTCAGGGATCTGGGGATGCCAGTGCCTTCACAGAGGACTGCTGAGTGGAGGGGGGAGAAAGCAGTGAGGGCCTCCCTCAACTGCGTCTCTCTCACTCTGCTCCCTCCAGGAGTGGCCGGGCAGACGTGGCAGCCATATACCATGAGCGCATCGATGTGGAAGGCCACCACTATGGCCCCTCATCGCCTCAGCGGAAAGACGCCCTGAAAGCCGTGGACACTGTCCTGAAGTACATGACCAAGTGGATCCAGGTAACTGAAATCAAGGACCATGACGCTAATCTTCCCTCTTGTCACTTCCTGTCAGTTTCCTTGGTTGTCATAACCCTTCAACATTTTCCTTCTTACTGGTGTTAGTGGACGAGGTCAGCACCAGGCTGGGGTGGGTCTCTTTTCTTCCCACAACCACTTGTCAGATACCAGGAGCTCCCTTGTTTTACAACCAGCCCAGCGGGACTGAAATGACCAGATTTGCATTCTTACCTGGCTTAGCTGGCCAGATGGCCCAGTTCTTTACCAAACCTAGTAAGTCTGTGAACCAGGTTCAAGCAGGCATGGAGACCAGACCTGGGTTCTGTCCCTGATCCTGCCACCCACCCCCTTGCTGGATGACTCTCAACAAAGTAAAACTTTTGTGGGCTTTATTTTCCACGTTTGTAAAATGGGTCGGTGACCGCTCCCGTCTTACCACACAGGTCTGCTGAAAGAGCAGAAGGAAATGAGAACAGAGAAAGTAGCTTGAATGGCTCAAGCCCAGGAGGGATGATTTCTAGCACTACTGGAAAGGGGATGTGCTTTCACTTCGCCCTCCTCGAAGTGCTTCTATGGTGATGTTGCACTGGTCCCATCAGGGCAGAAAAGTTTATGATTGAGGAAGTATCCTTTCCCCCATAACTTACAGTTTAAAACACTTGTTTACAAGACCTTCCAGAGTGAGCACATCTCTGCCTGGGAGCTGACCTGACGGCTTTTGTCCACCTACAGGAGCGGGAGCTGCAGGACCACCTCAATGTCATCATCTTCTCAGATCATGGAATGACTGACATTTTCTGGATGGACAAAGTGATCGAGCTGAATAAGTACATCAGCCTGAACGACCTGCAGCAAGTGAAGGACCGAGGACCTGTCGTGAGCCTCTGGCCAGCTCCTGGGAAACACTCTGAGGCAAGAAGCGCCATGAGCGGGGGAGGCGGATGGATGATCACTCTGAGCTTGGTCTTTGCCCTGGGGCTTTAGCACTGAAGTAGAGAGCTGTGCCGGAGCTGGGCCTCCCGAGGCATGTGACCTACTTTGTTGCTCCCTTGACCTCTGCCAAATTGCTCATCCTCCTGTGTCTGTCTGCTCTTCTCTGAAATGGGCATGATGGTGTCCACTGCACAGATGTTAGTGGAAATCAAATGAGATAAATGATGTGTGGTGCCTAGCATGTTAAGCTCTTAGCCCTTTAGTAGGGCTATTTTATTGTTGGCCCAAATGCGGCACTTCTCAGGCAAACCTGGGGGATATGGATGCATACAGAGAATGCTCTTTCCCTGGAACAAAGCTGCCCATCTGATCTGTTTTCGTAAGGGAACTGGAGATAAGAAGGTGATGAATGAATAGGGGCTGAGGCCGTGGGTGCCATGCGTCAGCTCCTTATCTGAGGAGGCACGCTGCTTAGGTGCAAACCCCAGCCTGATCATGGACTGGTAACCCATAGCTCCCTGTCCCGGACCCTCTGCTTCTTCTGAGTCCATGCGGTTGGTGATGCCATCATAGCTGCCCTCCTGGGCTGCTGGTAAACCCACAGAAGCATGCTGGGCCCACCTCAAGGAGACGATGTATGTGCCACTTTACAATGATCATCATCACAGGGGTGGTTCCCAAGAGGGTGCTCCCCACAGTCACTGCCCTCCAGGAACTGAGCACTCTGAGATAGCTAGACTTTACTTACCCTTCTCTCCAAACCATAATTATCTGCAGTACTTGGTAAATCATGATGGGAAAATGAGGAACAAGCAGCATCTTTGTCCACCTGCTTCGCCCCATGTTGCCTCGTCACATGCCAGCGCAAGCTCTGGGTCTTCTGCCCGCTCCCAGAGACAATTTCATGCTCTGGACCAGGTAGCGGGTCTCTTCAGAGAGAAACTGCTGCCCGTGGAGGTGCCAACCCCAGGGTCCCAGGAATTGGCCTAGGGAGGGCCTGACACCTCCACCTATCCTCACAGCAAGGATGTGGTTGACAATGGACGCTCTTTGGTAGGGATGGACACTGCGTGCAGGAGGCCGGGGTCTCTCCACTGGCCCTTTTGACCTCCTCTTGCCCACTACCATAGGAAAGTCTGAGATCTGTCTGGGGGTTGAGCAGCACAGTTGCCAAGAACGCCACTCCTCCCCAGCCTTGTCCCATTTCCTAGGTGGACGTCCCTTTTTCTCAAGTTCCGTGGTCAGGAAGTGGAGGTGCTGACCATTGGTACAGCAGCCCCATGAAATCCCTTAATATGAAGCCGGGAGGAATACTCTACACATTGGCAGGTCCCACAGAAAGTGGCTTCTTGCAAAGAAGTTCTGTTTTCTTGGCAAGGAAGATAATCTGCATTTCCAACTTGGCGCTCAGGGACGTGCTGCCTCCAGAATGCTTGAGCATCAGCAGCTTACGAGCTGGGAAGAGCTTCTTCCAGCACGACGTTCATGAAAGCCAGAAGCAGTTGGTGGATTATTCAAGAATGGGGGCTGTGTTTGGGTGACAGTTCGTCATGTGACGGACACAACAGTTTGTGAGACCTGGTATGTGTCATCAGATTTTTCACGTATCCAAAATCTTCCTGCAAATGCATCCTACTTTCCTTAAGAACTATGGATTTTCTCAAGTAGGAAATCATAACTCGTGGGGTCATCGAAACTCTCTACTAAAAAGCCTGAAGGCTAATTATTCTCCAGATCTGAGTTGATAAACTCAATTTTACATTCAGTTCTACCCAGGAATATGTGTCTGATTTGCCTGAGGGCCAACAAGTCAACATCAGCCAGTTGATTTTAATGTCAGCCATAAATATTTAAGCTGCTGCTAAATATTGGAAATACGTACAGAGTTTACACCCTCATCATGAAATTAGTAGTGTAATGAATGGCAGACAATTACTAATACTTTTAAGATTCAGGTGTAGGAAAGACATGCTCTAGGTCAAGAGCAAATCCTCTCCCTTTGATCTTGTGGCATTTAACAGCAGGTGGACCAATTCCTCATTTGCCTTTTAATTTTACTATAGCATTTTTGACGTATATAAGCTTTTGTAATTTATTAACTACTGAGTAGACAAATTATTATAAAATATTGGAAAGTATAAAGGGGTGCCTTATATTTACTAAACATCTAAGAAGTAGGACATTACCATTGATAACGGTATCTCTTATATATCCTTCCCAAACCCCACCACCTTTCCTGCCCCATCAAAGGAAGCTACTCTCTTAAATTATAAGTTATCATTTCCATAATTGCCCTTATCATTTTATCATGTGTGTTCTTTAGTTTTATAGTTATTTGAACTTCGCATAATAATAATAATAACCCTGTCTGCATTCTTCTGCAACTTGCTTTATTTTGCTTCTCAAACTGAGAGCCCTGCGATGCTTGCAGGTGTTCTGCGTAGGTGTAATTCACCTCTCTTCGCTGCTGTATAGTATCCCACCACAGAACCACATGAGTCATCTCTCCCTTCCACTGTTGCTGGGCATTTGGGCTGTTGAGTCTGCAGTCTCTATCCCTCTATATGTCTCCCAGTACACGAGTGGGAAGGGTTCCCATTAGGTCCCTAGGGGCTACCTTATTAGATCACGGGGTGTGTGGATCTTCAGCCTTATGAGATGAAGCCACCTTGTTTTCTGAGACATACAAAAGTTTCTCATTCTTATGTAGTCAAACCTGGCAGGTGTTTTGGTCATTTCTTTCTTTGGTCCATAAAGTTCTCCCTCTCCTCTAGGTGCAATAAATGTTCACACATAGTTAAGAAAGAGAATGCCAAACTGGTGACTCTTTTGTCTTTGCAGATATATAACAAACTGAGAACAGTGGAACACATGACCATCTACGAGAAAGAAGCCATACCAAGCAGGTTCTATTACAAGAAAGGGAAATTTGTCTCTCCTTTGACCCTAGTGGCTGATGAAGGATGGTTCATAACTGAGGTAATTATAGAATTATGACGTGTTCATTATACAAATTCTATCAAACACCCAAAGGTAAATAATTACTCTGCTTTTGCACTTAAGGATTTTGTTTTCACTTAAGTGTCCTTCATGGCCTCACTTCCACCTTTAGACGCCAAAGACTTGGTCAGGTGGCTTTGTAGACGCACACCATAGACGTGGACCCAGAGTCACAGTTTAGACTTAGTGGCTCCAGACTCGATATATTAACAAACTGCCCTTAACTCAATTACCCAGGCTTACAATGTAACCTATTCAGTTTAAAGTGCAACAGTTACTGTGAACCAAAGCAATCGCTTCAGGGCAGTGAAAATCAGGGAGAGGCTCAGCTTTGCTTTCACCTTTAAGAGAAATGTTTGGCAAACACAACTCCAGCCAACCCTGTTCCGCAGTTAGCCAACTTGATTTTGCAGAGGAGATTATCTTGTGTTTGGGATCCAAACCCTCATTGCCTCACACACGAATGACTTCAGCAGCTCCTGCCCGCCTGCCTTGACTGCAAGCTCACCAGGCTCTTGGATCAACTTCTGATCACGGGCCAGTGTGGGAGGGCCCTGGCCTTCAGGGGAACTGTGGTCAAGGCCGATCTAGAATCAGTTGACGGAGAGGGCGGGCTTTATCATAGACATGAGTTTGAAGATGGCTTGCAAAGAGACCAGCCTTCAGGGTGAAAGAGAATGGCAGGTGTTGGCACATGGGGGTCGTTGGTCGATGCCAATGAAGTCTAAGGCCTAGGACTAGCATTTATCTGCCAGAGAGAGTGCAGGTGGTGATCAGCAGAAATATGGATCAGGCAAATGGGTGGAAGGAAGTCTAGGAACCTAGGTGTGGAAAAATGAGTGTTCCTTGACATGAAATTTGGTCACTGAGGAGAACTGAGTCATTCCTATGTGCTCTCAAAGAGAAGCATCTGGTCACCAAGGAAACAGAACAGACCCAGTCTGAGCTGTCAGTCTACACAGGCCTGAGGCCAAGTGGGGCCCATCGAATCAGCAGACTTTGGCTTCCACACCATGTGATTGCAAGTTTCCAAGAAGGTCCCTCTGCCTCCTCATTCTTCTCTCTTCACTTTAGCACACTGTTCAATGTTTGCCTGGAGTGAGATTATTCCAGGCTCACAGAATTTTCATGTACAGTGATTTGCTCACAGCTTTGCATTGAACACACGATCAGTCAATTGCGTCACCTGGGTAGGTGTCTATACGACTATTTCCATAAAGCCAACTTTCCCAAGTCGTTCAAAGGGGCTGACGTTTTGAAACTTTCTCAGTTTAGGAAATTCTGGTGGAATGACTTTGACTTTTTCAAAGCAAAGAGATGAAGAGGGCCAGTCCAGCTACCTGTCACTCATTTCTTAGCATGATTATGAGCATCTACTCTTTCCTTTCTCATATTTAGCTGAAATCAAGTGCACTGAGAGGCTGGTTCATGGTGGGGAGGGCGATTGAAGTGATTTGGAGTAATTTATGGGAAAGTAGTCTTAGGTGGGAAGAGTGACAAAGCCAGAGACACTGCACAACTAATGAGAGGCCATCTCCATTCCAATGGGAGAGGCTCCGAACCCTCCAGTAGGGTAGGATGGGCACCAGGAAAGCTGCTCTAGCTCTGAGTACTTTCTGGAAGGTAAGAATCTTGGCAGTAGCACATTCAGCAAGGAGATATACATTTCTCCAGTGAGTCACTAAAACACAGTGCTGGGGGACAGGGGGGTATCAGCAAGATGCTCTTGGTTATAAGTCATACACAACTTGAATACATGTGCCTTAAATAATAAAGACTTTTACCTCATATAACTGGAAGTCGACATAGACAGTTCCAGGGTTGGTTCATCCAGCAGCTCAATCACATCAATCATACCAAGGCTCCGAGTTAGCTCTTCTGCAGTTCTTCTGGCTTTCTCTTCAGGGTCACAAGATGGCTGCTGCAGCCCCAAGCATCACATCCCTTCAGGTCATCGCAAAGCAGAAAAGAAAGGGTGTAGCTTCTTCTTGTATGTCTCCTACTTTTATTAGGGAACAAAAAATATAACCCCAGAATAAGAGGCAGATACCAGTTTCATGGGACTCTGACAATTATAAAATTTGGAGGGGTCTCTCTTTAAGAAAAGAATATGTAATTATGAATATAAAATTAGGTATAGGGACTTAGAAGAAATGCATGAGAGTGAGAAGCCCTGATGCTTAAGCTTCTCTAACTGCACTGTTAATCCACTCCTGCCCAGACCCCGCTAGCAAGCCGCCCCTTAGGTCTCATCCAGAAGCAGCAGTGTGGCTAGAAAATTCCTGCCTCGAGTCCGCTTTGGTCCTAAGATCTAGCACCATACTGCAATGCGGACCAGGAGGCCACGGTCACAAGACAAATGTGATACAGAGGCTACAGAATGAGGCACGCAAGGTCCCTGAAACTTAGGTCACAAAGAAGAGGAGGTGAGAGGAGAATGAGGACAAACATTCTGGCTAGCTGGGGGCGGCCCACTCAAAAAGCCCAGTGTCAAATCTGATGGGGCCTCATCCCCAACCTCCCAACACCCCTCCCCTCTGCACTGGGTGTCCAGGTACCTGCTCTTCTGCAGGAAGCCTGCCAGCTTCTGTGTCTTCTGAGAGCCAGCCACATGCTGATTACACACCATATTATATACTACGTTACGTTACATTACTTTTGTAATTACACAGTACACATACATATGTTTGTGTGAATCAGAACTCAGTCAGGGAGTTAACAGGGGCTACCCAGTTAACTGTATGGCTTAAGAAGTTGGGGAGAAGCCACCAGAACAGAAAGGAAGAATGCCTAGCAATTGATGATTATTTGAAAAGCTTTTAAAAAATATATAATTATTTCAAGAGGGAAATTTGGGGTGATTTTTTAAATATTTGAAGCAGAAAGTGGTTTTTTTTTTTTAAAGAAAGAAACCAGAAGGAAGATCAATAGGACGTGAAAAAAAATAAGATTCTGAATAATTTAGTGTTGACCCATTAAATATTGGGACTATCAATGTTATCTTGCCCTGCTTTAATTACTAATGAGGGGTGTTACAGAGCGAATCTTCATTGATCATGCCTGGTTCATTAGAAACTTTACAATGACTCCTCCCCACATTTCAATGACATGAACATAAAGCCATTTTAACTTCTGCAGGTAATAAATCCATCAGGAAAAATTTCTTCTTAAAATTTTGGTCAACAACAACAATAACAGCTATCTTGAATGAAGTTCTCTCCCTTCTTGGTTACTATTTCTGTTCCTCTCAATGACTCTGCATGGAGGATATTGTTAGTCCTGAAAGTAACACACCACAACATGGAACACAAATGTGGTTCTGAGCTTCCTAGCAGCCAGTTCAAAGAGGGAAGCACAATCAATTACATTAATGTAACTTAGAGTGCCTGTCACGTAAAAACACAAATGTTTCTCTGAAAAATCATAGTTGTCCCTGAGTCCTGAGAGAGATCAGATGTCTTTCAGTCACTCCTTTTTGTACCTTAGTTTCTTAGCCTGAATGAATACCTTTATCATTTTATGAATCCTTGAATTCATGGGCTTTTTTCCCCAAGACTCACCAGTAAAAATTATAGTTCCGGATTCTACCTTGATAGAACATGGGGTTTTATCTCCTTGTCTTCTGGAAAACCCTAAAGACAAATGTCCGTTTGTTCCTTGTTGCCTTGGTCTTTTTTCTTTTACATCTTTCTGTTGTTCATTATACTTACCTGACTGCAGAGAATGGAGAACCCCGTTGGCTATCTTTGTTCCCGCTCGGTGCCGGGCTGTTCGTCCCACCCCCCCCACCCCCCCACCCCACGGCTATTTGCAGAGTCTCTCCCCTGGCGGTAGAAGAACGCTGTGATTTGCTCCGTGACCTGCCCAGCAGGGCGCAGCACCTGCGAGGATGTGTCTGTGGTAGACTGCGTTCGGCGGCTGCCGCAGGGCCAATTTCTCAGGCCTGAAAGCAGTCTCTCGGGTCTGGACAGCCGAGGAGTCTTTTTTTCTGATTTAGACGCGATTAGAAAAACAGCTGAGTCAGGACAAAAGGGTGCTGGCTGGGGCCAACGGAATAGGGTCCCATCCCCCCTTCCTTGCTCTCTGTTCCGCAACATGCAAGATCTGGCTTCCTTGGCAACCGTGCCACGCCGGTATAAACACCACCTTTTTGCTACCACTTTACGTTTTGCAGACTCTAAGGCCGCTGCTCTACCGGGAACACTTAATTGAGTTCATTTTTTTTTTTTTTAAATGGTCACTTAGAGAGCTGTCCCCGGAAAAGATAAAGACAGGGAAGCAGATCGAATCTGTCACCTGGAATTGCAGGATTACCCCGTGTGACTGCTGTTGGCCTGGGGCTTCCCGCAACTTGCTTCTGCTCCCGCATTCTTTAGTATATGGGCTGGGTTGCCACCCCCTGCCGGTCCCTGGCCCTGGAGCTCCTCCTGCAAGGGTGGCGATCTGAGGCTTCCATATTCCCAGAGGACTGGTCAAACATGAAGGGTGGAACAATCCAGGCCACCCACCTAGGTCAAGCCCTGGCCTGTCACACTGGCCAGGTTCCTTTCTTCAAGGGCTGCCTAAAGGCTGCCCCCACCCCCTCCGTCTCCCTAAGACCTGGTCACTGTCCTGTGGGAACCTCTTTGCTCATGCTTGCCAGGGGTCAAAGGCTACACCCTTCACCAGCCACCCCACCCCACCCATGCTCTACCCCCCTCCCTCCTCCAGGGGGCACCTGCAATGGGGCTGGACATGGCCTCATCACCATGTGGTGGTCCAAGGGCCCTCGGGAGGGAGGTCCAGTGATGCTGCGTGTCCTTGGCATATGGGATAGTCAGGAACAACACAGGAAAATGCAAAGTGGGCAAATGCTGAGGGCAGTTTCTGCCGAACTTAAGTGCATTCTTCCATTTCCCACCTCCATTCCTCCATCCATATGCAGCTTCCCCCCTCCCCCCCCGATCCAGAAGCAGAATGTTCCTCTGAAACCCTTCCTG